GGATGAGGATCAGTGCCTCCAAATCCGAGACCATGGTCTTGAGCCGGAAACTGGTAGCGTGCCGCCTCCAGGTCGGGGAGGAGGTCCTGCCCCAAGTGGAGGAGTTTAAGTATCTCAGGGTCTTGTTCACAAATGAAGGAAGAATGGAGCGGGAGATTGACAGGCGGATTGGTGCTGTGTCTGCAGTGATGCGGGCGCTGTACCGGTCTGTCATAGTGAAGAGAGCTGAGCCAGAAGGCAAAGCTCTCAGTTTACCGGTCGGTCTACGTTCCTACCCTCATCTATGGTCATGAACTTTGGGTAGTGACCGAAAGAACGAGATCGTGGATACAAGCGGCCGAAATGAGTTTCCTTCGCAGGTTGTCTGGGCTCTCCCTTAGAGATAGGGTGAGAAGCTCGGTTATCCGGGAGGGACTCAGAGTAGAGCCACTGCTCCTCCACGTCGAGAGGAGCCAGTTGAGGTGGCTCGAGTATCTGGTTAGAATGCCTCCTGGACACCTCCCTGGTGAGGTGTTCCGGGCATGTCCCACTGGGAGAAGGCCCAGAGGAAGACCCAGGACACGCTGGAGGGACTATGTTTCTCGGCTGGCCTAGGAACACCTCGGGATTCCCCCGTACGAGCTGGCCCAAGTGGCTGGAGAGAGGGAAGTTTGGGTCTCTCCGCTTAGGCTGATGCCCCCGCAACCCGATCCCAGATAAGCGGCAGTAAACGGACGGACTGTATTTTGGTTTATTAAAATTTCAGTTTGACTACATTCACTTTTAGTTCCATAATTCAATTTCAGTTCAGAAATTCAGATTTTTGTGTCACACATCCTGGTCCTTGAGAAAGCCAGCCAGATTAATCAAACACAGATRRGTAGATTCATCTTTCACTTTGGTGAAGTTTCCCTTCTATATGTAATAGAGTTGATGCAATCCACCGTGAAAGTGACAAAAAAAGACAGTTATTTTATTGCAATGATTAATTTTACCTATATGTAGAAAATTTTACATTTACATCACATCATGGATCACATATTGATCAGATGCTGCTGCTGACTGATCCATGATGTGATGTAAATGTAAAATTTTCTACATATAGGTAAAATTAATCA